TTTTTCCAATACTTTCACTATTACACTTGTCAATGATACAGGTCTATAATTGAGGGGGTCTTCCCTGCTGCCACTTTTGTAGATTGGAACTATGTTAGCTGTTTCCACCGTCTGCTACGATTCCTGTACACAGGGATGCCTGAAAGATCAGGTGAAGTGGAATGCTGAGCTCAGATGCACATTCTCTCAGAACCCATGGTGAAACGCCATCTGGGCCAGCTGCTTTGTTCTTACCGAGCTCCTTGAGCATTTTTTCCACTTCGTCTCTAGACACCTCTATGTGTTCTATGTTGTTCTCTGGAATTCTTATTGTATCTGGTTCCCTAAAGATTTCATTTTGTACAAACACACTTTGGAACTTTTCGTTAGTGTTTCACACATTCCTTTTCATCTTCCGTGAATCTATTTCCCATTTTCAACCTCTGAATATTATCCTTTACCTGCAATTGTTGTTTATGAATTTATAGAATAGACTGGTTCTGTTTTACATTTGTCCGCAATCCCTTTTCAAAATTCTTTCTGCCTCTCTCCTCACTGCCGTGTAGTTGTTTCTCGCATCTTTGTATCGCTGGTATGTTTGGGGGTTCGGCCTCTTCCTGTGCGCCAGCCTTGGTTGCTCACTCGGTACTGAGGCTCTCACACCCAGGAATGTTACCCACAATTTAAAAAAAAAGGCTGTTTACTAAAGCCCTGAGGCAGTTGATGCTGAGGTACTTTTAAAGAAACTAATATACACAAACTGTGGGAATGACTAAAAACGTTCATACATAAATACTTACATGGTTTCAGCAAAACCTGGGCCATGGAAGTGGAAAGGAACTCCAGTACCCATACCTTTACAATGAAAAACAAAAAAGTGATCAATGTAATGAAACCCCATTTTCTGGGTGAGCCCCGGAGACTCCTTGGAGCTATCGGACTGATATACGCTATACAAATTAGTCTGGGGCATCAGTCAATGGAGTTGTGCCTACTGGGGACCACGAGCCAGAACCTGGCGCAATCAGAGAGGCACAGGGAGCAATGGCCTATGGAAACCCCCATGTGTTTAGGAGCATTCCATGTCTGCCATCAACTGGGGTTAGGCACCCAGAAAAGTAGGTATAACAAAACAAACCCCACTTGGTAAGAAATTGTAACCGAAGACTGAACAGAGAGACAGAACTCCCCAAAAATATAAGGAAACAACCAAACAAGCAAACGTCATTCACCGCCACCGCTTGTCCGCACAACTCTCCCCTCCACTCCCTGGGAGTGGGAGGGGGAAGCCCTGGACCCCCGCACCAGTTACACCTCAGTTCATAGGCCGAGCATCAAAAACGAAACCGCTGACCGGAGGGAGGGAGGGTGCCAGGGAGCCTCCGGGGCTCACCAAGAAAAATGACATTTCATAACATTCAATGCTGGTTTTCTATGGGGAGCCCCTCCAACTCCTTAGAGCTACATAACCAAAGACAAGTAAAAGAGGGGACTAACCTGCGTGGCAGCCGCAACGTGCACATTAACTCAAAAGGCGAGACAACTGGCTGCAACCTGCGACCCAAAGCCACACACGAACGACCGGGACCAGGTACATTTACCAAATAACAGGTGGTCAGGACCCTGTTCGACCACCAAAACTCCCTTGCCTCAATGTCAGCCCAAGACATGTTGCCAAACACGGGAGCCAAAGCAGCATACAGTATCCACTCGATTTAACAACTTGTATGAGGCTGTACCCAGTTGTTGAATCTGGGGGTCAGCTAAATCCGGAGGTTTTAAAATTTTGGTAACTAGTCATATTTGGGAGAGCAACAGGATGGATGGTGGGTGGACAGGCAAGTGGACAGACTGGCTGGTTAACTGGCTGGTTTTCAGGAAAGAGGGCTGGCTGGATGGATGGAAGATTGGGTAAATGAATGGCTGACTGGCAGACAGGCAGGAGGGAGTGGGCAACCTGTCCTCTTACAAATTACGTCTGAATTTGGCCGTTTGCCTGTACAGTATGGTCGAAAATGGATGTAATTTGAAAATGAATAGTAGTTGAAAATATATTTTGGATTTTTTTTTCCAAAACAGCAAGTTAAGGATTCTCTGCTAGGTTAGGAGGGCAAGAAATTCTCCTAAGGTTTCAAACATCATAAAAATCGTTAATTGAAAGTTTCCTCTCCTGACCTATCTGAGTAAGCCAGAGGATTCAAAACAGAAAACAGGACAGTACATCACTTTCACGAGCCGATTTCATTTCAAATTACATTTAATTTTGGCCATATGGACAAACGAGCAAAAAACCAGCATTGAATGTAACGAAACGGCATTTTCTGGGCGAGACCCGGAGGCTAACCGGAGCTATCCTGTATGGAGTTCTTTGGGCCTACCGAGGACCACGAACCAGAATCTGGCCCCCTCAGAGAGGCGCGAGGAGGAATTGCCTATAGAATCCCCCGTGTGGTTGGACGCATTCTATATCTGCCATCGACCGGGTCAGGCACCCAGAAAGATAAGCACCTCAAAACAAACCCCCTATCCTGGTGAAAATTGCTACAAAAAGCCAAACTAGTGGACAGAACTCCCTAAACAGAAACGAGCAAACAAGCATGACATTACACATCGACGCGCCGCTGTCTGCGCAGCTCCCCCCTCCCCGGGAGGGAGAAGGGGTAGCCCCAGACCCCCGCGCTGGCAATCCACACCCCAGTTCTGAGGCTGGATATAAAAAATGCAAAAAAAAAAAAAAAAAAAAAACGGCAACTGGGGGGAGGAAGGGTTGCTGGGGAGCCTTCGGGTCTCACCCAGAATTTGGTGTTTCATTACACTCACCGCTGGTTTTCTGGAGGAAGCCCTTTCGGCTCCCCGGAGTCACCAACCAAAAGATGAAACCAGAGGGACTTACCCGGGGTGGTGGTCACCGCTCACTCCTCAACGCGAAGTCCAGGCAACTGGCTGCAACCGCCGACCCAAAGTGACACAGGCCCGACTAGGCCCAGGAATATTATCTTGAGATGATTTCAGGGCTTAGCGTCCCTGCAGCCCGGTCCTCGACCAGGCCTCCTTTTTGCTACAAACCCCCAGGAAGCAGCCCAAGCAGCTGTCTAACTTCCAGGTACCTATTTACTGCTAGGTAATAGGGGCATCAGGGTGAAAGAAACATTTTGCCCATTTGTCTCTGCCCTCCACCGGGGATCGAACCCAGAACCTCAGGGATACGAATCCGAAGCGCTGTCTGCACAGCTGTCAGGCTGTCAGATGTTCACCAAGTAATGAGCAGCCAAGACCCTGTTTGATCTCCAAGAACCCCGCGCCCGAATGTCAACCCAAGACACGTTCCCAAAAACAGCAGCAAGGGGTAGCAAACTTACGAATGTCATGGGCACAGGAATAGACAGCAGGCTGGCTAGACTGAATAATCCTGCGGATGACCTGGGAGACTCGAACCCTGGAACAGGGAAGAAGGGAAACTGGATCAACCCAAAGCGCATCCCTGGCCACAAGAGTCTGTGGCGCGCAAATAATGGCAGAGAGCCACAACCAGACACAACACATGATGCACCCCTGGCCTAACGAACCAAGCATCAACAACCCAAGGACCCCTCCAGAAAGCAGCAGTGTCATTCTTCGCCAGGAAAGAAGGAGACGCCTGCAAACGAACAAACCTACAACCAGGACCAAACACGCAGAAACCCCTGCGCCAGAGGAGAGCATGAAGCTCCCCGACCCGACCCCAGAGGTCAGTGCCAACAAGAAAAGAGCCTTAGAGAAACAATCCTGAACTGAAGGGGCCACTACAAACCGAGGAGAGAGACATGGGAGTACCCTGTCCAATGACCAGGACGGCTCAAGCGGCACATGAGCAGATAGGAAGTGAAACAACACACGAGACAGCTTGATACATCAAGCAAGTAACATCAATACCAAAAGCAGTAACGGCGACAGTATTTGGCATAAGACGATGGTCCTGGAACAACCAAGAAAGAAAGGACAAAACAACCTTAACAGACAGTGAAGTACACCTACAAAGCGAAAGAAAGAAAGAAATGGAAGGACTGTCAAGAGACCTCATACTGCCGCCGAGATGAAGCCTGCAGATGGGACACCAGCAATGATGCCACCTGATCACCATAGAGATGATGATAGACCAGAGTAAAAATATACCAAACGTGCAGACTTGAGGAGAAGATCGAACCAGCCACGTGATGTACTGGACCAATCTGCTGAAAGAGGCGGAGCTGCAGGAAAATCTCCGGGTTCGGACACTGAGCAAGCAGCGCCTGAAACCAAAGCTGGGCCGGCCACCACAGGGCCAAGAGGACTACTCTACCCTGGTAAGTCTGCAAGCGAGTCAGGACCAAGAGCAACAGTGGAACCGGGGAAAAGAGGTACAGGAACCCCCACCTCCTCCAGTCCTGCCGAAAGACATCAACCCGGATGGCCTCACAGTTAGGGAAGGGTGCCACATATACAGGGAGGCACCGTGACTTCGTCAACGCGACCCGAACCTCCGGGCGCCCAAACGTCTGGCAGAGCCAACGAGTCGGCGTTGACTGTCCATTCCGTGGACAGAGGAAAGAACCGAGACAGGTCATCCACCAGGACGTTGGACATCCCCTGAACGTGGACTGCCAGGAGAGCCAAACCCCGAGAACTCAGCAGACGGGTCACCCGAAGCAACCAGCACCAAAGAGCCAAGGACCGCACCAAACCCCCTCGGTTCAGACAATGAACCACCGGGGAGCAGTCTGAATGGAGCCGGATCGTCGATCCACTGGCGACCTGAACTCTCCTAAGGTAGAACCACACCGCCGCAAACTCCCGCACCGTGCTGTGGGCTCGACGAAAGGACTGACCCCACCGCCCCTGGCCGGCTTGGTGAGCACTGGTCACAAAACCCCAGCCGAAATATGACGTGTCCGTGAGCACATCGAGCAAGGGCTCGGGTAGGCGCCAAGGCCCTGAACCCCGAAAAACTCGAAGAGGAAGCCGGCAATGCAGCAGCCGACGCAAGTCCCCGGGGGTCGAACCCAGCAATTGCGAGAGAAGCAAAAGGGACGTCCCGAAGGAACCAGAACAGCCAATGAAGCCAAACCCGACCCGGTGGGTAGACCATCATTGCAAAGTTCAGGCTCCCTCACAGTCCTTCGAACAACCACCGGGTGACCTGGGAACCCTCCAGAAAACGGCAAAAAGCAGGACTGCAGGCGAAGCAGAGGGGCTGGAGGGAGAGACAAGGAAGCGGTCCGAGAGTCCCACACAAGGCCCAGCCAAGCTCGAATCTGGGAGGGGACCAGACGGGACTTCCTCTAGTTCACCAAGAACCCGAACCTGGCGAGCTGGGAAAGAACCAAATTCCTGACGAGCAGACAAGCAGACCAGCTGGGCGCCCATACCAGCCAGTTGTTGAGGTAGGCCAGCACCCGAACACTTAAAAGATGCAGACGGGCCACCACGACCTGTGTAAGGTGTGTGAAAACGCAAGGTGCCAGGTTCAACCCGAACAGAAGAAAACGAAAGCGGTAACTCTGACACCCACAACAAAACTGAGTCAGTCCCTGAACCCCGGATGAATCGGGATGTGCCAATATACGTCCCAGAGTTCTTATTTCCTGAATAGGAAGCTGGCGACACAACAACTGACGCAAAACCCCTGGAGGCTGAATCCAGCGGTTGCGAGAGAGGTGGAAGGGATGGTCCCAAAGGAACCAAAACAGATGCCGAAACCAGACCCGACTCGGCTGGTAAACCAGCACGGCAAAGTTCACACTCCCGCACAACTGCTATAGCACCCACCAAGTGACACTGAGAAACAAGGAAGTGGACCAAGAGTCCCAAACGAGGCCCAGTCAGGTCCAAACCTGGGA